GGAATAATTTATACACTTGTTATAATTCTACACTCACTATTGGAATGTTGTTATATGCTAACTTGAAGCTACGATATACAACTTGTAATTATACTATATAATTATTAGCTTAATTTCAGTACATTGAATAGATTATAACGCTACGCCCATATGGGTGTACATTATTAGTAATTCGCTTTGCGCAGTACAATTGAAAGGAGAAACACAACTTTTCGAGTTAAATTCGAGAGTTCAACTAACGCTGGTTCGACAATAATAAATTATTCTGATTATATTTCGAGCTTTATATAATGCGACTGTCGCTTTATATAAATATTACCAATGTGACATTATTAAATTGGCATATTTTATCATATATAAATGTTCGGAGTTTAAAGTTCACATTTAAACTCCCAATTTTATATTTATATTACATATTCTATATTTAAATTCGCTCGTAATTTTATCGTGATTTTTAATAATCTATAATCTTCCCTAAGAAATGAGTTTACAAATGTGAAAAGAATTTATCACATTCGACTAGAACTTTTAAAGATTAGCGCGTTTAAACAAACATTCGCATTATATACTAATGTAAATTTACAGTATAAAATATGCGGAATAGAGAAATTGGGAATATAATTTATTTGTAAATAATATATTACCTATATGAAATAAAAATAATATTACCGTAATTCGTCCCAAATTGACTATGTAAATTTTGATATTGCTTTTTTTTTAAATGAAACAGCATAAATAAATAATTACGAAACAGAATATTATTATTAATAAATAAATTGTATTATGTTAATACTCGCATATCTAAAAGAAATAATATTTGAATTCCCAGAAAGATATATTAACATATATGCGTGTTTGTTTCAGTTTAGGTATTATGAGATGAAATTTATTTACACGCGATCTGAACCTAATTAAAAAAAAACTTCATTATTTTTAGGAAATATTTTTACCTATTCGATTTCATTTTAAATAAAATATAATAATATTTTCCATCACAACTGTTTCCTTTAAAGATTATCCTATAAAAATGATCGTTAAAGTAATAAAACCTAAAATTCTTCTGTGCCTTCCATTTCTTTAATTTTAATTTATATACTAAAAGATTTACTATATATTAGAATTGCTACATATAATATTTTAGAACCGCTATAAACAAGCTGGATCAATTTACGGATGGATTGCCACAAAGGATTTCGTAGACAAGTGTGCAAGATAGCTGACAAAAGAAACTGAGAAGACTGAACGATTTGTACGAATTGGTCAGGATATGGACGTTCTTTGTGAGTCCACAAAGAACATTTCCACCCAAAGAGGGGATTTACTCAATGACTTTCTAAGTAATAACACTAGATCTGCATCTTATGGATTACACTTGAGAACATAAGTTGCCGAGAAAACATCTGAAATGTCATTTATCAGTAAAAATTTTAGCGTAAATATTTTAATATTTTTTCTTTCTCCTTTTGTAACTTAGATAATTGAAATAACTGATATTTAGCATTCTAAAGAGGAATTCTAAGAGGTTTGAAATCTCTGTTATTCGGTGTAATTACTTAGTTTACAGGTAAGGTTTAATTATTTTGTTTTTGGTATCAAAGTAATTTAATAACTATATTAATAATTTTATTAACGTCATGTATAAGTAGAAAAGTATCTACATTAAATTAAACTTAACTAAAGTAATTTATACTTCGTAATTTATTCTTATATTACTTACATTCATGTTTTTATATGAAAAACATTGGTACTAGTATTGTATAATTTATTACTTATTATTTTCGAAAACAGCAGGAGGAAAGTTATTTAGAATGTGTGGGATTTAGTTTTTGGTATTATTATAGAGAATAATAGTATTTTAATATTATAATTTTAATAAAAGCTATTAGTTTGTTTACCTATAATCCCTAGGACTTCCAAATTTCGTAACGGTATTTGGACTTTTAAACAATAGTAAAATAATTAAAAGTATATAAAAAAATCCGAAAGACAATAAAAATATAAGAAGTTCGTTTAAATAATGTGAGTTAATAAAAATTTTCTTTAGTTGTTAGCTAAACATATAAGCTAGTGTATACCTATAAAGGAAAAGTAAGAGAGTATTTAATAATGACCTTGTAATAATATAGTAGGCACGTTCGATTTTAATTTTTAAGATAATAAGAAGGATATTATGTTACAAATTAAAACACAACTTAGCTTACATAGCTATTATATACACCTACACGCTATAAGAAAGTGTAATAGCCTACTCGCCATGTCGGTCCCGATTTAGAATAGGCCACCCCTTCCTTCTGTGGGTGTTGAAGAGAGGGAACTAAGGGAGGGCGAGGGATGGGCAGCAGTGTTTCTCTTAAAACAACTTCAAAGCCTATCTGCGGTTGCCAAACCGCCTGCCAAGCGTGGCAACTACTGGCAAAACCCCCCCAAGGGGAAGGATTATGTTCAGCAGTGGAAAGTTAAAGGCTGATGATGAATGAAAATTGATGATGATGATGATAATAAGCAACAAAACTTAATAAAATGTAAATATTGATGAAGTCATCATATTGCTGACCTCATATGTAGTATGTGACTATCGCCGCTCATAAGTAAGCACGTATGTTACCAATATTTTAGAAAAAGTATGCTCTACTTACCACCTGGTAGAAAGTGGTTTTCGTCGCCTATAGATATGAACAGCACTATAAATATCACAGTATATACTATGATATTTATAGCATGATATGACAGTAATAATAGCATCATGATGTCCATGATGCTATTATTGCTATGATTTTGTTATGGTGATGCGTGAAAGTTAAAGGAACATCATTTATTGATATTTTTTTTATATTATTAAGCATTCGCCATCACTTATTGATATGGTTGAGCGATATTTGAATTTGTAGTTGGTAACTTCCACGTGACATTACTGGTATTGTAGGTGTTCATACTACAGGTATAAAAATAAAGACTAGGATCATTTATTCTTACGGTATAAGATAACTTTATGCTCAACTTATGTTTAAATTTTGAAGTAAAAAACAGGTTACACGTTGATAAAATTTAACACAAATAGCATACTTCCTGCAATATCTTTATTATCAAAACCTTATTAATATTATTAGAAAGTAAGTTTGTTTGTTTATTTGTTACCCTTTAGCGCCGTTAAATTAGATAAGCCGTTATCATCTAATTACTATGAAATTTGGTATACATGTACTATATGGCATGGAGCAGTTTATAGGCTACGGTAACGCGACCGAAGTCGCGGGTAAAAGCTAGTAAAGAATAAAACGTAGTAAAATAAAAACCCACAAGATACCAATAAATCGAGCTGAATAGTAAACCATTGATCAGCTTGGCAGCTGAAATACGAGTGAAACAAAGTTATCATCTTGTAGGTTTTCACATTGCATAGTTTATGGTTTTTTTTTTTTATTATCAACCGTTGATTGTCTACTGCTGAATACAGACCTTGCCTATAACTGGGGGCTTTTCCAGGAGTTACAATGCTTGGCAAGGTAGGTTGGCAATTGGAATTAGGCTTTGGTGATGTTTTACGAGGAACATTTCTGTCCATCCTTCGACCATTAAATTCCCTTAGTCGCCTGTTACGACAGCCACGGGAAAGAAAGGGGTGGCCCGTTCTATGTGGGAACCGCACAGCATTATGGTTTATAAGTGACGGGAATTATTTATATACAAATAACCTTCTATTCTTGTCACCCTTCAGTACTTGTCATTGATTGTCATACTCTTCAGACGGACACAAAACAACATACTTACTCGTTGCTGCTTCACCTTAGAAATAGAAGATTGCTAACCATAATAGAAAATTTTGTAGTACTTATTTGGATAAATTAGGTACATAAAATATTATGTTAGGTAAAATTATTGATTGATAAACTGGAAATTATCAATACATATAATACAATCGTAACTGGTCGCTATCTATACATGCAAGATATGTAAGAAAAACTATTATACAATACAATGATTTTTTGAACTATTCTCTGTTTGTCTGTACGTTTGTATACGCTAATCTCAAGAAAAGTTTAACCGATTTGAATAAAGTTTCCTCTAAGGCATTACGGTTTGTTCCATTTAACTTTTAGTGTTTGCTTTATTTCAATCGGTTCATAAATAAAAAAAGTTATATCAATCTAAAGAATTATATATAAGATGATATGAAATAACCGATCAGTTGAATTGGCTGAATTTTTTTTATGATATGTATTGATTTTTATAAAATTTTGTCTACTCAGACGGTCAGAATCAAAACCGGGTTAGATCACTATTTATAAATATTACCTTGCTTTTAAATATTCCAATATTTGAATTCCACAAAAAATCTACACAGTTGTTTTTGAATTAATCTCATTTATACACGTTGGAATTATTTCATTTAACCACGGTCTCTCTCTGTACCATGTAAATACATTGTACAATAGTATTTTGCTTTTAAATAAAGATATATTACAACCTTTGGGTAATGAAGATGATACTATCCCGGATAAGTGGGTGCGAGATCTGTGTAAAGTATCTGACTTTATGTTAGGATAAAATTAACAACCTTCAAGTAGCTCTTGTTTCGGTATTTAGATTTTTCTTTTACCCGTTAATTGTGTTGTAACCGGTAACATAAAATGTCTTCTTATTAAAGGTTGAATTAGATACTTACATATATCCACAAAAATATAGTTTAGAAACTATTCGAGACCCTTAATCATGAGTGACAATATGCTCCTAAAAAAATATAAATCAATTTATTTTAGATACACTATCGGGACTTAACGCGATAAAAAAAAATTGCAGGTAAATAGTATCTGTTTTTCTAATGCTGACGTTTTGGCGTTGTACGACATTGCGTCACGATAGTATAATATTTAAAATATGTGGCAACAAAGGGTTTTTTTATACCACTTTTAGAATTATAATAAGATAGATATCATCTTATTTTAATTATTAAAATGAAATTAAAATAAAATGATATTAAAAGGTTGCCAAATGAAAAGCACTTTGTAACAGATTGTTCTCTTTATATAATATCAACAAAAGTATGCCAGTAAATGCTAATTACAATACACATTAACAACGAAAGCGAATGTGTTTCTAATTAAGGTATATTACATTGGAGACTGTGAATTTGCAACTTATATCATTGATATAAACAAAAAGATTAATTATTCCAAATAAATGTTAGGTAAATATTTATCAATCGTACATGTAATTAGTATATTGTACCACAATATAGACGTTATGTTATCATATCTAGTAGAATAAATAATGTGCAGTTAGCTCGTATTTTGTAAGCTCTGATGCATTGCAAAAGTTTTATACAAATTTTAATTACGCTGTAAATATGAAAGAAACTAGTTACACTAGTGACTTCATATATCTGATCTGGGAATTTATTGGACTAGTATAAAAAAAAATCTATGCCCTTTATCTCAAATACTAGGGATATGACTGACGACGGACAAGGTGCCAAGAGGTAACAAACAAACTTATTTTTCCAACATAGCAAGGTTATCAAGAATAATAAAGACTCAAATTTAAACATGGTATATATTCTATTTAAAAAATGACGACATGGGTGAATGATGGAATAAGTGGGCAGTATATTAAAACTTAATTTCTACTGCCAATTATCCTCAGTGTCTTAGAATTTCATTTATTAAATTGACTATTTAAAAAAATAATGATAAGTGATTATTCGATAAAAGTAACTAGGCTTTCAAACTATTTATTAAAATATACATATATTACGTATATACTGTGTCGGTTACACCGTCGCAATGGAAATGGAGTTCAAAAAACTAATAAATGCCTACACAAAACGACGTCTCTATATTTCGGTGATATGTTAGAAAATAGACATAATTCGGGTTATTTATACTTTGGTTTTATTTATACTATTTGTCCTGTTGCGTCTATATATTTTTTCAATACAAAGTTTAGACACCTTAACTGTATCGGGTGCCGCTTATTAATATTTCCTAACGTGTTGAATTGCTCGCTTCATAATTCACGTGTAACAGGGGTAAAGTTATAACATTATGCTCGTTTTTGTTCTGGATTCCGATTTTGTTATTCACACAAGTTTTAATGGAAAGTTAGTAGACTAATAATCTTTTTTCTGAAATTATTTTATTATTAAACAAAATTGATGCGTACATTGATTCTTTTTGGTCGTTCTCAAATAACAACACAACAAAATCAAGAAAGACTGTAATGGAAATTGTTGAAGTTTTATTTTTCTATTCCCATCACGACAATAATTATTCTTTGTTTCAAAGTAATAGACTATTACACATTAAAATACAGAAGTATCGAAATTCTATTGAAACAAATGTGAGTATTGCAATTTTGGTGTTCTTGTAACTGTAATCGATAGACAGTCTAACAATGATGCAATGGTAGATGGGTTTAGCGTTTACGTTAGATACTACGATCTACCATAGACCAACAGCCTTCTATGATGACACATAATAAGTATTATACTCATTGGAATATTAAATGAATAGCGTAGCGCATAGGGCACAAAATAGTTTAAACTGAATAAATTGTAACGACCTTAACTATAATATCGAACATAGGTAGGAATATATCCTCTCAGAGGACAAAGAGTCTTCTGTTACTGACATGTACTATCTAATCTGTGGTAATTTAGACAAGTTAACGCCTGTTAGCATCAGAAATAAATGTTGAAATGAATTATTAAAACAAAGCGTTTAGAATTTAGTATTTACCTTAATTCTTAGATATAATTGCCATTTGATTCAAATAATTTATTATTCGGTAATTTTAATCGATTTTATTACATCACTTTTTTTGCAAAAATACCTTCACTAAAGTTTTTACTTAAATAACCTACTCGACATAATGTGTTACTTAAATTATTATTATATATATATATATATATTTTTTTTTTTATATATATTTAATGTTTAGAAGAAATCATATTATTAATTCATTTAGGTATTCGCTTTGTTATTTTATTTTACAAATAAAATTTAATATCTATTTAATGTATAATTACATTATATATTTACATTACGTTGAAGTATTATCTAAGAAGGCGTTTCTAAACATTATTTACATTATAAAAAAAAGTGGTATTATTTTAAAATAAAAAAAAAAAAAAATTTTACACTTGGTTGTCAAATTGTTTTATAAAATCCTATACATTTTATTTAATAAAGATAATAAATAAATAATAATAAGTAAACATAGGTACTTACACAAATGCTAGCATTTACCTAATCAATTACAGATATGTATCGAAGACTTATTATTTTTAATAATAAAACAACATATGTTTTTATTATTTTCTTAAGCTATAATTATATATTTTCCTATTTAAAGAAAAATAATAAATTAGAAGGAATCGTTGTAATTATAGAAAATTTGTAAAAATTAAAATTAATATGATACAAAAATAATCAAGTATTTAAATAATAAAAATGGAAATTCGTTTACGGGTATGGATAATGAAATTAAAATTACTCTCAAATGTAATAATTTGAGTGAGGAAGTTATAAGTGTGAAATCAGAAATAGTCAAATTGCTGTTCTATATTTAATATTATATTACAAAATTATAGTTCTAATATTTAAATAATAATTCTTAATTCGTTCAAAACATTTTTTGTTCAAATATGTAATAATGTGACATAACTTTTATTTTATTGAAGAATATAATATTTAACAAGTCCATAGATTTAATTAAAGTAAGTTGTATAAAATCTGTTTAGTTACCAGTCTATAAAATAAATTGAGAGCCATGCTCACCTAATCACGTTCCGTTAACAAAATCAAAGATAATTTATCACGTTTCCAATTGTGTTAGCAAACTAAGAGATACAACGAAGCAAAGTGTTAACAGCATTACGTTTAACGCGGGCGCTTCGCTTGAACTCCTCACTGGAACAAACAAGCTTTGTTAGTCATTGAACGATAAGATTTCTACAACTAATTATTGAGTAAGCACTAGACAATCCAGTAGATAAAAGTATTGAAGGAAAATAAGATCTAATCTTTAGTAATAGATACCATATACTTGTCAGGTTGAAACGGTAAGTAAAACAATAATATTGAGATGATTTATAACTTAATAATGTAAGATAAAAATGGATAACATCAACTTTTTAATAAAAAAATATATTTTATTTCTGAAACCAAGCTCTGCAAACTTGGACATGCAGAGCGAGCCGAAACGGTGTGACGTAAACACCGTACTTACATCCCCTTCAGGATAAATTTGAAACAATCAGACACTACATATAGTAAGTTCATTAAATTCCCATTAATCAATTATAATGTACATATATACATATAAGTTATGGCTATATGTTTTAGTTTCCTATTAACCAAATTTAGGTATGTAGGTATGGATAGACGGTGTTGAATTTCCTGTCCACAGTCGTGAACTATTAAAGTTATCTAAGTTCTATTCACAGGTGAAACTGTATGCAAGTATAGGTGTAACTTGAACATTACTAACCGGCAGATTAGTCCCAATATTCTGGGAAACTATTGACATCCGTTTATAACATTATTACTAAACCGAGTTCCAGATCGTTACTGCTTAATAATTCAGTGGGGGCGTTACGCCCCTTAGACTGTGTTCACTGAGCAGTAGATACGTACTTAATTTTATTTGTTTAGAAGAAAAGTTGAGTTAAACTCATGATTTTGAAATAAAATTCTGCAACATAAATGGCATGCATATTTTTTTATTTTATTTAATATCATTATGATTATATACGTAAAAGAGATTTGAATGCATATTTAGTTATATATATATAATTATTTTTTGTTTGTTTGTAACTTTATTGTATAGTAAAGTTTTAAGTTATAGCATACAGAGTTCATAAGAAAATAATGAGTAATGGCTGACTTATACCAGTCAACCTTTGAATATCTGATATAAATTGTGAATCGGTAGAGACAAAAAATAATATACCTATTTAAAAAAAAGTTGAAAATTTAGAACGGCAAACAAGCTGACGGCTTGATAGAAAGTAGTAACCGTCGCCTATAGACATGAGTAGTACCATGGACATAACAGAGTGTACTGTTTTGCCCATGATACCCCATGCGTTACCATTCCCGAGGACTCAGGTGTTATTCCTCTGTACTCTGTAAATTTATTGCCATATCCCATCCTTCAAACCTAAATACAGCCATGTAAACACAACTGCTTTACAGTAGAAACACGAATGGGACAGAAGTGCCCAAGCAAACGACTTTTGTACAAAGGTAGAGACATGTTAACTTATAATTAAGTATACAACTTAGTTGATCATATTTCAAAAGTAAACAAATAAATTCTAATTTTATGTCTATAAAAAAATTTTACGTCTATCACGATATTGTCAAGTTATTTAGTAGAGGCTCAAAATTTTTGGTTGTTTTTCGAGGCATGGAAAAAAATTTCACTCTCCAAGTTTCTTTTATGTAACTTAAGAATGGCAAACTTGTTGATAATCCAGCTTACGGATATTTACTGACATGATCAGCACTACGGACCTCACAGAATATACCATGATACCTATATATGTATAGTGCATGATTAAATTGAAACGAAAACATCAGAGCAAGGTGGAATGGCAATGCTTAAGGCAGCGTTACAATTTCTCACGCTTTAAACCGAAACACAAATATGTAAGCACAGCTACTTGGCGACAAAAACATGAGTGGGACAAAGGTACCCAAGCAGATGACTTTTGTAAAAATTATCCCTCAGGATATACATATTGAGAATATTAAATTATATTTATTGAGAATATTAGAAAATACAAATAAAAAATAAATAAAATTTACCTAGTAGCATAGCCTCTTTGCTTTCAGCAAGATGGCTGTTCCCCACCACGGCTTCACTGCCTTCACGCCACGCTGGTGCTACGCGTGCTGTGCACCTGACCTCCATAGATCGGCCAATGGGGACACGCAACCCCAATGCTGTGGACATCAGGCCGTGGGTATAATGCGTTGGTGGGTATTCCACAAGCATATCTGGATCTGTCACCTGTGAATAAAAATTTCTTAGTTTATATATACTTCAATGCACCCGCTAATAATATATGCAGACATATCTATATTAGTAGAAAATAAATATCCATAGTCGAGCTTTATTCTTATATTACTCCCAAGAATACTTTTCCACCAAACCCAGCGTGAAAAGAAGCATTAATGTTTGACATTGAGTCAGTGGGTAGTACAGTATACAATACACGTATGTGACAACAAACAAGATAACATACTAAACACCGCTTTTTATAAATTCTTATGAAGAAGATGCTTTTAAAAATATAGAAGGATTACTTTTATATATGATATTTTATTTATGTCAGAAATTTTTCTTTTTCCTTAAATCATACTCGTATTTTCACGTACACTTCGTACATATTTACTTTATTATTAATATATATATATATATATATACCCCTTAAGGACTGCAATAGGAGTAAAAATTTGTATGATAGTTCTATTAGAATTAAAGCTATAATTATGATACTTTAGTTTTAGACTTCTGATTAGAAATAAATAAAACACTTTTTAGTGTTTTTGGAATTTTTTTCCCTAAAAAATTAGATTTCATCTAAACCAAATTTGTTAATTTTAAATAAGGAAGGCGTAATTTTACATTTACGTTTTTTTAAGAAATAAACTATTTAATTAATTTTGAAAATACTGTTTTCCTAAGAAGATAAAGGTATGTCCTAATATTATAATAAATGTAATTATTACAAAGTTTATTTCTGACATCTGCTACTGTATCAGTAATAAATATGATTGATAAATTATTTCAAGTAATTAACTATTTACTCGATTTAAGTAAATTAAATTCTGATTTTATCTATTGAGTAGTTACACTACGTATATGCATGGCAAGTTCTGGGTAGGACACGTATGTGCTGCCACACGACACGATATTGAGACTTCTATAACGAGAGACACCATGAACGTTACAGAGTGTTTATGTGTATAAGCAATGATTACCACTCCTTATTATGTGGGCTGTCAGGTTGATTACCATTGCTAGTTGAATGAAAAGTTAACAATGTAACAAATATTTATATTATTATATCTTTTGCGTATTTATATATTATTGTTTATTTATTTATTTTTAGCAACAACTTCCGTATTAGATTATTAAACAAACAAAAATGAATCCTAAATATGTAAGTATAACATTTTTATATCGTCATAAGAGATGCCATTTTAATCCCATTGTAAAAATACTGAATCGTAATTACTAAAGCTACGGTTCAGGGTTAAGAACGTGCTAACAATACACCTTTCCATCAGGTAGGTCACCAGCTTTAATTACAATATCCTTTGGATAAGAAAGATTGATAATACTTGCATTCTTACTCTATAATTACAAAGGTTTATGTACTGTATTTATGGTTTATATTATACAGATTAACTAGACAACAAACCTTTTCGCCATCTATATCCCAACTAAGAACAGCAGCTGGATACGACCGTCCCGAAGTACAGTTCAAGAACATTGTATCTCCTCTTCTATTTTCTTGCTCGTTGCCGGTTATTCTAGGCCCTTCTCTTGGCAGATCTGTATCAAAACGAAACAAATTAATAACAATTTCCTAAACTATATATTTATACAATCTTAGTTACCTATAAAGTGATGAGTAACAAAAATCCAAACAAGTTCAGAAACTATAACATATTTACAATATTAGTAGGATTTCTTTACATACCATTGGGATTCAGCGAGGAACAAAGATTTGGAGGCTCTGATAGCTTTACCTCGATAAGATCTTTGGGTATATTGTAAGTAGAAAGTATCCTCTATTCGTGAGAAATTGGATTCTATTTCCACGAAATTCAACTCTTTATGAATATCAACTTTTTCCTTCCCGTTAGTATTATATATATCATATTTACTTTTAAAAATGGTAAATGCACATGTAATAGTTAATGGATTTTAATAAATATGATTAATGCCTAAACTACAATATTTGGATCAACGTGAATTACTGTTCAGATATATTTAATACTGGCTACCTCCAATGAATAAAATGAAACCAAATCATTCTTCTTACTATTATGTATGGGGATTTTTTAAATTTTTTTTTTCTTTTCTCTTATCCAAATATTTTATTTTATACAAACCTTGTTTGGACAATAACAAATACAACAAAAAAATAATCAGCCAAATAGGTACAGTTATTCTGAAGTGATGCACTTATGTAGGCTTTTGATATTTTTATTTACATAGATTTTGTTCAATAAGTGTCTTAATCTGACTCTTTTAGGAAAATGTAGGAACATTTCCTTTGAATTTACAACAGTCCATTGTGATAATAAGTTTCAATATTTTTGAACGAGTGACTTTTTATTATTTGCATTAAAGTTTCCAAATGTTTTTTTGATTATATTTCAAAATATTCAAAATACTGAAAAATATTAGAGCATTTTTAAAATTCTCATTGAATAATATATATTAAATAAAATGTATCTATTTAGTTGCATTTTACAGGCAATTTAGATGTCATCAGTCTTAAGGTAATCTTCTTAATGAGAAAGTAGCAACATTTTCTTTAAAAAATAAATTAAATCTGGTATTAGTATTGCACAAAAGTTAGAAATAAAATGAGGTAATTTTTATTTTCAAGACTACAAAAATACCCACTAAGTAGGTACTTAATGTATACGAATGAAATACCGACATAGGATTGGACGAGATTACTTAAAAAATAGGTTATGGAAAAGATTACTTTTAACTTGTAAATTTTTCATATTTTTTAATAATTTATAAATAATAATCATATAATGACACTTATTACAAAACCTTGCTTAGATGTTTAGATAGATGTTATTCAATTATATATAAATACATAAATACATTTGAATTCAATTAGATATAAAGAAATCGAGGATTTACATTTAAATATACATGTATCATACGTAAACAGTATCATTCGTAGGTAATGCATTTGTATGGAATAATATGTAGTTTTAAAATATGTTATGGTGAGTAGGTACATTAGTTAAATTACTTTTTTTTTTTCATCACACAAATGTGCGCTTTGTATCTGATACAGAAAACATAGGTATGTGTCAATTTCATAAAAATGTATTTTAGTGCAATGATATGTTCATGCCATATTAATTTAATCCAGATTTTTTCCATGCTCAATTCTATTCATATCTTGACCTGTATGTGTATATAGAAAATTCCCTAATATGAATATATATAGAACAAAATACGTGCACTAAATCTGCATTTAAGAATCTAATAGTATGGAATTGGGGGGAAAGGGAGTGTTAGCAACCGAGTTTGATAACCCCATTGCTAGCAATATGCCCTATTAAGTCGACCTCCAGGTGGTTCCCCTTGGAAACCATCGTGAACAATTCTTGTTGAATTCGTCACGATGGGCTATTTCTGTGACCTGTTTCATATACCTATCATTCCCTCACTGGTGCCCCGTCGGTGTATACCGATAGCGCGGGTGGGATTCCTTTATCACCCATTTAAAAAAATAGTATGGAATACCTATTGGTCTAAAATATACAATTTATTTTTGAAATAAACAAGTTTATTTATCTCATCCGATTATGAAATGAGATCCATAAATAAATCTCATATGCCTTCGAAACATTTTTATGAAACCGCTGTACGAAGATCATCAAATTAGAGAGAAAATGACAAAAACAATCATTCTACTACTACAAATGTAGGATTATGTTTCTTGGCAAACTTACAAATTACTTCCATTCTGCCTTCATCGGCGGCAGATGCGAACGAAGGCGCTTCCGCTGATACTTCGCATCTGTACACGCCGCTAGATTTTAGCATCAGCTGATGTAGAACCACTCTTCGGTCATCTGATTTTTGGAGCTGTGCAAAAATTTCATGTTTTAGGCAATCAGTCAAACAATGTATGATCTTTAAAATATAAATAGTAGGTGTCTATAAATATTATCATGTAAATGGTTATAAATTACAGAATTATATATAGAGTCTATCTAGTCTTTGCAGTTTGGTTCGCCTTCGATCTTGCGAAAACTCTTACAACATAAACTATAAAAAAATTTAGAACAACGTACGTATGTGAATAACATTTCTAGAGTCTTGCAGGAGCGAAACCTTTGCTCGATGTAAACTCAATTGCAAAGATATTAAGGTGCCGATTCAAACCATGCTTGTTTCAAAACACTTTTTATTCATACAATAAATATTAAAATCTACAACCCATTTATCAATACTGGACACAGGTTTTTTCTCATAACAGAAGTAAATTAGCATACAATTTAGTGCTATTATTTATACTGTATTATTATCATGCTGCTTTAACGACATGAAACATTAGAAATTATATATTAGAATATTATAAAATAGAAACATAATTATTGCTGTCTACTGACAAATAAATGACAATATTCAGAAAATACAGATAGGTTACTGATACATTTCTAAATTAGATATATTTAAAACAAAATGTTATCAGTTCTGTGAATCTAGTGATCGGTAATCATGCGTATGCATTCGCATATGAAAGAATAAGACGCCGTCCGTCGTTGTCTCGTTGTAGTCTCGTATTAAAGAGCGAAAACGAATCTATCAATGAATTCTGCTAAAATTAGTCTAAGGGGTTTATTTACGATTTTAAACAAGTAATTATTTTATGTAGGTATTAATAGTAGGTATAATAATATATTTAGATTCCATCAAAACAATCAACATCAATTATAATCAAACCATAATTTCTATAAAATATATCCAGGCATTAATTATATTGAACATTATAATATTATATAGAAGTATATGTGAATAGTTCCGATACTCGTATGGATTGTCTGGCTTCCCGTTCATTCCGATCTACATCTTTTGTCAGAAATTCGCCAACGATGTCCCCATTGTGAGTTCGGAATAGACAACCCTTTTGTAAAATGGATTTCCAACAGCAGGAATGCCTTTAGTATTATACGATAATTTGATAGTACCGCGATATCGGATCGTGGAATACGCGATATATTGTGAGTGTATTCATATAGTTCTACCGTATTCAGTTCTGTTATTCGGAACAATAATAGAAAAAAGTTCTTTTAGTAACAGATATAGAATATTCTTATAGTTTATTCTTAAATAGTATAAATAAAATATATATGGCCTCTAAATTTATTGAAAATCTCTTTGTTTATTATCATATCAGTCTTTAACTGTCCACAGCTGAACAAACGCCCCTAGCTATTGGAGGGTTTCGTTAGTAGTTACTATGCTTGGCAGGCGGTTTGGCAATTGCAGTTAGAGCTTGGTGATATCTGAAGAGAGACGCTGCTGCCCTAACTTCGACCATTAATTTCTCTTAGTAACCTCTTACGACATTCACGGGAAAGAAAGCCTATTCTATGCCGCTACCATACGGCGATATTGCATAAAATATGTGGATATAAATAATCATAAATACTAACAGACATACATAGACATAAAAATAGAAAACAAAAACTATACATGTACAATAAACAAACAAACGAAATATGTACAATAGTAGAAGTTTATGTAATTACTTGACAAAATCTAACCATACGCGTATAATACATACAGAGTTGTAGATAATTGAAATATATCATAAGTAAATATATAATAATATCAAAGTGAGAACAGGAACACACACCCATCATTAAAAAAAAAACTTATTTTCACTAATTGAAATTGGTTTATAAGGAAAATTAGGATAAACTTAGGAATATGAGTATATGTATGTAAATTACGTACACTCATATTTCTAGGTTTATTTAAAATACTAAATTCTTTTTTACCAGCAATAGAGTAAAAATACAAAAAAAATATTTTTTATAACAACATTTTATTTCCATTTTGTAGACTATGGTTTATATTATGATGGATGGGATAAAATGTATCCGTCTTATTTTGAACCGTCCAATGTTTTAGTAAATATAAAGTACGTTCACCTACAGTAATATAAAAATATAATTTCAATTGTTCTTAACAAGAAAAAAAAAACTTTCATCTTTTGTGTATATTGTTCATTACAAAAAGAAATTAGGTATATCATTTATTAAATAACGTAAAAATATTCAAGGAAGTTGCTAGATTATGTTTTCCTTGAGGGACATAATAATGTGTACACTTGATTTTGTAATAGAAAAATAAAACCTGTCCCTGAAATGAAGTAAAACCCTTGTCATTTATTTGTCAATAAAACAAGTAAAAAATTATTCTCGAAGGTTTTTGTCTTTCGTATAAATGTTGATGAAAACGTCATATACATTATTCAGAGCGATGGAATAATTCAATGTGAGACATACCTCTTCGCATTCTTACTAATATTAGAAATGAATTTATTTATTTTCTACGATTTGATGCTTCAACGGCTGAAATAATTGTCATGATAATAAGTACAGATGGTAAAGAACATCTCTTTTTGACCAATCGCTTTTTTTAACCAGGTTAATTACGTTCTAGTCATTTTCGGTCACGAGAACGAAGACGCGGGTAAAAACTATCCTGTAATATTTTTGGGTCGGTAATTGATATACATATAATTCATCTGCGTGAAATTTTCATTGATAGAGATAAAAAGTAGAGACGTAAGTGAGTCAGTAAAAAGCCTAAAACCGAATCCACACTATAATGCCGACCTCGGTTCACTCACGGTCCGATCTTGGCCTGGTTAAATATTGTTATGTAAAAACTTGTCTGGATTAATTAAATACATCCATACTATATTCCAGTTTGTTCCAGTTCCGATCAATCTCAAAGTGTTACTACTTACCAGACTAAGAATGGGCCGAAATGGAATTCGGCCTATTCCGTGCCCATTAGCTATATATCGATATATTATCGACTGGTTGTTCCTAGTAGTGTTAAAAAATATACTTGCATTCACAAAAATAGATAGTTTCGTAACATAACATCTTCATGTCAGCTCTTAACTGTCCACTGCTGAACATAAATCTCCCCCTTGGGGAGTTTTGCCAGGAGTTGCCACAGTTGGTAGGCGATTTGGCAACCGCAGTTTTTAGAGATGTTTTAAGAGGGACGCTGTCGCTCATCTTTCGCCCTCCTTTAGACGGCTGTTACCACACCCACGGGACAAAAAGGGGTGGCCTATACTGTGCCGGGACCACACGGCCAACAATAACATAACATGCCGAACGTTAATTGTACCTATCAGATATATACATATATTATTTATTGAACTTGTAAATTACAAAAAAAGTACATTTAAAATATTGTGAGGTATTTATTGTAAGATAATATTTCTGAGAGATAGAGGATAAACATCAACACTCACTACATAGTCTGGGGATTGATTCTCGCGTCCCGGCGTCCTATAACCTAAATGGTCACATATACAGTTTCAGAGTTTTCTCCAGCGAATGCACAGGTTGTATATAGAAATAGCTTCCTGCCGTAGTTTACTCTAGAGATTTGTAGTATGAGATTCTTAAAAAAGGGCGTAATAAGCTTTCTTCAAAATAGGCAACGTAGACGTGACAGCTCTGCCTTTCTAGGTGGTTACGTTACTATAAAACAGATTTTTCTGCTAGATAGTATATTCATCATTTACAAAGTAAATTTTTACACTGTGATATTATTATGGTAATATACCATATACCATACCATATCAGTCTTTAACTGTCCACTGCTTAATATATGCCTCCCTCTATTGGAGGGTTTTGCCACTAGTTACCACGTTCGACAGGCGGGTTGGCAACCACATTTGGACTTCGGTGATGTTTAAAGAGAGACGTTGTCGTCCATTCCACGACTATTAAGTTTCCTTAATTGGCTTTTACGACACCCACGGGATGGCCCATTCATGCCGGGAACAAACATCTTTATAATTAGATTTAATTTTTACATTGTGATATTATGTCAATACTTTCGATTATTTTTTTTGTCTGCGACCTAAGGTTCTATGAACAAGTATTCATTGAGATAACTGTCCAAACTATGAATTGAAAATCTTTGTATGATATCAACACCTTTACGGACCGTGGGTTGAAAATAGCAGTTCAATAACGCGACGATAAATAAAAAAATATGATTGACACTTATATAGAAAATATTTCTTGTCGTTGAGCTATATCGATCAACGTCGAGTGCTGTTATATTTTGCATCCAAAAAAATTATACCTTTATTACAATGAAGTAAATTTAAAAGCTTTCTACCTGTAGCGAGTTTTTTAATATCTATAAATATATATATTTTTTATTAATTATTTTAAGATATATAGGACTTCTGATATTAACAGTCTCTTTGAGGGAACTTAATGAGGATGGGCAGCAGCGTCCCTCTGAAAATATCTGTAAATCCCTAATTACGGTTGTCAACCAGCCTTCCAAGCACAGCAACTACTGGCAAAACTCCCCTTTTATGCTTATAATCAGCAGTCGACAATTAAGGGCTGAAATAATAATAACTAGAGATAATATCATGATGGGCACATTTTTTTAATTACTCATATTTGATAACAGAGTTTATGTAATTCGTCGCAATAAGTATTACTAGGTACATTGTTTTTTCGTGAATCAACTAGTAAAGTGTGCATTGATGTATGTAGGTTCCAAGAGTAAGAACGATAGAAGACCAGGGTAATTTATATATAATACAAGAGACCGCATGTATTATTTTGATTCTATTTACAAGAACTGTAATACTTCAATATAGAAATGGTAAATCATCACACACATTTAACAGTATTTTCAAGTGGCTTATAAAAAGAGAATATTATAAGTTTGCCTGTATGTTTATTGAGACTGTTACGTAATATTATTGCTAATTCACAATCGATTTTCATGTTTATTTTAGTGGAAAAGCTTTTTATCGTGACATTTAACGTGATAACCATAAACTTGTTCTGTTCGTATTTATTACTAATGATCCTGACCGGTTTCTTATGGACACAGATAATATAATACTATACTAGGCATGAATAATAAAATAATATACTTGTATAGTTTATATAGGTGAAAGAAACTTATAATCGTTTGAGTAGTTTTTGAGTTTATTATTATTATTGAGTTATACATTATAAACAAACAAATAATCAAGTCTTTCCTCTTTATAATTTTAATATAGATTTCATCTGATAGACTATTAGCTTGTTGGTTTCGACTGTCCAATCTATAGACAAAAGTGCTGGGTCCAGAGATATTAATGAAGATTGTCGTTTCATAACATAAATGGAAGAATTTGTGGCGGTTGCTGGAATATATATGTTTATGCAAACGAAGCCACATTTACTAGCTAGTATCTATATATACATAAACGTCAATTTAAATTAAGTATAATTTTTATTTATCAAGTGAAGGATCCCTTAACTTAATTAATAGTCTAAGTAAGGTTTTAATTGAAGGAGAGTATCGTCAACTTTAACTGTATCCTACTTCGCTAGTTCTGGCATTAACCATAGCAATTCAAATAACGTTGGTTAGTCTCAAAATAGTTACTTACATCAACTTTGATCCCTTCTAATTTGTATGCATGCTTCGGTGGGTCGAACTTTGGCATGTACCTGTAGAATTCTTCGTTATCTCTGTACCATTTCACCGAATATAAAGTGTCCGAACCGAGTTCGTAGTCGCACTCCAACTGTGCCGGCTGTCCTCTCACCCGATATGTTGGAATTGATACGCGAACTATTCTTAGTAACAGCGACTCTGAAACAAGAGAACAGTGATTTAAGTACTAACTGAAGTCGATGTTCAGACGGCATAGGTATATCGCACTAATTGTAATCCGATGCTATGTCCACGTGTATTTATAATGTTAATTTAAATATCGTGTTTCTTAATATTATCCTGCATACTTAGTTTATATACATAGAGTGTTTCTATAGAATTCTCTCGAGATAAACAGGTCAACTTTTTCATACAATTTTGCGTGATAAATATGTAGTTACGAGTGATTCCTTTATAAACTGTATATTTATTTTGTCTTATAGTTTTTGCATATCTTTAATGCGTAAACACTTATTTAATTAATTAAATAATACATCAAGATACTTGTTATGCGTAAGTATATAGAACACTGATTAAAAAAACGAGTCAGCTAATTTGACAATTAGCTGACAAATAGTTGACCCGTTTTTGAGGATCTATGCTCTATCTATATAATCTAAACCTGTATATTAGGTAAATAATATACATACCATAGCGTTATCTAAGAAATTATATTTTTACAACTTTTAGAAAAATATCCTTTAAATTCCTGCAATGCAATATTAAGCAAAAGAATATTAATATCGCAACAAATTGATATTGTATGATTTTGCTTGTGAATCATTTAGAACGTAACAAAAGGTCTAAAGTAAAGAAAGTAATATCACTGCAACCAGCAACGAATCGGGCATATTATCGACAACCGATGGAGAAAAAAGATCTCGCGTGGCAATACAGAATATAAAATAAAAAATTACAGGGAATGTTTTAAAAATCGGTTCAGAATTGATGAAGATATCATGTGACAATACGTAAAAACTATAGATCATGTTAGAATTTCTTCTTTATGAAGACCTTTATGGGTCATGTGAAACGATATCTCTGGTTTTATATCATCCGTAAATGTATTTTCAATTATAAAAAATGCATTCTATGGAATTTTCATGTAGAAAGGAACGTAATAAGCTTAAAAAGTCCAATGGCGAATGACTGCGTGAACAACGGCAATGTAGAAAGAGAAACGAAAATATTTCTATTACGAACACTCGTTGTTTTTCTGAAAAAAAAAATCCATTACGGAATAAACCATTTTGTCTATATTAATAGTACCTAATAATTATCGTTTTCTTACATAGTTTTGATTGAGGGTTGAACATTGCTTTAAAAGCATGTCTGTGATTTCAATTTCTTTCTATGTGAACAGTATAAATACTTTTAACTATACCTTTGATTTTTTTCACCTAATTCCCAAATAATTAAAGCAACCTATTTTTAAGTTTATATTTATTTATTTACTTGTTATAACTATGCTATGATAAGTTTGCCTATGGCAATAATACCAATAGTACTTTAAAAGATAGTCTTGTAGGTGTTTAACATTATAGCTTATTCAGAATAACTCTGGTTTATGTACGTCTAAATATAATATCGTCCCCACAACGTTTATCATATCAACACAATAGAAAGACAGTTGACACTATATTGTATAGCTGAATATTAAAAGGTCACCCTTATAGATATAAATATAGATAGACAGCCTATGTATCCCAATATACAGGAAAGCGTACCGCTATTAAACTACTTCCTGTGATGCTATTTATTTATTTAATAGCAAACCTCCTTTATCACTAAGCATTTTCAAAAATATATCGTTTATATATTTTGAAAAATGCTTAGTGCAGTAGGACGTTCAAAACAGAAATCATTAGCATCTTTTTAAGAAAGTTTTGAATAAATGAAATTTTAAATTTTTTAAAAATTTTACTCAAGGGACAAAAGTCGAAAAACGGCAAATTTTTTTATGTTAATTAATAGTGGGATGCTTGTTTCTTAGGAAAATGGTTTAAAATTTTTGACATAGGTTTTTTTCGCGCGGAAAGTTGAATTTGAAATTTAGCTCAAATTTAAGTATGTTTATTTGAGATTATTTAGGCATAAAGTTAAATATACTGTCGCCGCATCTATTCAAATTTATATCTACGGTCCTTTTATATCCAACTTCATATATAGAATATATATATCAAGTATATCTAAACACTGAAACGTTGTATTTATTTAACATATTTACAACCCTTTAATTTTCTTTTGATTATTTTACAAATGTAAAATATACTTAAATTCATTAATATTAGAGTTATAAAATATAACTACAGTCTTCTTTTTTTTATAACAAAATCATAATATTTATGCATAAATCAATCGTCAAGATTTTTGATATACATAGCATTAGAGATGTGAGAACATAAACTACTTTTTATCTCAGCTAATCAAAATATCTCCATTATGCGAATAAAATAGCAAAAAAAAAAAAACTAATAATACAAAATATATTTAAATAAAAAGACTAGTAAGTATATTATTAATTTCCTTTATTAACATCCTAAAGTTAATATGAAACCAACACATTACATAAAGAATTATTAAAAACAATTTTAAATCAATAAAGATATTGCCTAATATATACATCATTAATTATTAAATTCATGTACATACCAAAAGATACAAAAGAATTTACTTCTTTTGGTAGCCTTTGTAAAACAGGATATATGTACGAGTACATAGACAACTAGCCTATTTTCTTATACTCAAAACTTACAAAGTTAACACCTCATAATAAGTATAATCATAAACCCACCAATATAAATAATTGGTAATATCATATAATAATAAATATTTTATTGTTTTGGTAGTGTCAAACTACATTGGTTTATTACTAATTAAGTTAATCGATAAATAAAAATAAATAAATTTATGTACATATAGAAGAGGAAGCTGACTGATTTGATCATAAATCAACACACAGCGGCAACTGAAAGATTTAGAATTTTTTAATTTTACAGTTAGATTTTTTACCTACATAGCGTAGGTGAATGCTATATAAAGAACCTAACAGAAAGGACTTTTGAAAATTCAATCTCTAATGGAGTAAGATGGAGGTTGAAAGGTTCTATTGAATTTCATCAGTTTGGAAGTTAGGCACGTGAAATTTTACATTTAGGCTGAAAACAAAATTAATATATTTATATATGAAAGTTAAAGCGATCGAAGCCGCAGGCAAAAGCTAGTAAAATATATAATCTGTAAAATTTTTTGTTAATAGTTATTATTATTAACACTGTTAAATATCATATACATAATATTATACATAATTATACACTAATATAATTAAATTGGAATTCATAACTAATGGATAATAGTTGTTTACTAATTAATGATATTAAATATCTAGTTTAATATTAAAATATGAATATAATATTGTGTTTGTATATGTAACTGATAATTTATGTATTTCATAGATATCAAGTTTTTATTTTAATTATTGAATACGAATACATTGGTATTAGATTAAAATTATTTTATTAAATTCTGGTACCATTAGTACGTGGCACTGCCAATACTCTAAAATTGACCATCATTACCATTGCCAGGAATTACACAACTTTCTTATTAGTTATCAATCTCCAACTGTTATTTCATCCACGCACGTTTTGCGACACGTGTTTTATCTATAAATGAGGCATCTACAGGTAAATTAAAAAGTCGCTGCTCGGGGCCTAGTGTTAACTGTTCGGTATGCAAACTGCAAATGACAAATTTTTCAGAAAATATAATCCCTTGCTACGTAAAATAAAGTGAACTTTATTATCTTACTTTTACTGACAAGATTTTATCCGCATATTTCGTTCGCATGTCCGGGATATGTTCACGGGCTGGAATAAAAAAGATCCTGTGTCTTTCTCCATCCTGTAAACTGTTAAAGTACTAAAAGATAAAAAACAAACTCACCAGAATTATATTAGATAGATAGATAGATAGATACTCTTTATTGTTTCTTCCAAAAGATTATATATTATTGAGGGTAGTAAGAATTCACGAGAGCAAAGACGACAAATAATATTAAGCGATTTTAAAAAGAGGCGGTAAGTACGCATCTACTCATACCACTAACTTTTTGTGTGTTATGCAATATCTTTTCTAATCCTAAAGTGACATTTATATTTTTTTGCAACTAACAGCATTTACTCTCATGTCTAAGAGATAGAATAAAATTGTATCTGCAATATCGATAAGCACTTGCAGTATTTCGGTAATAGAGTCAGGACAACTGATCTATCTTAACTAATGACCTGTTGAGACAATCAACCTTTAAGAGTAAAACATTCCCTTAGGTTAATCGTATTCATGGACCGTGTCGTTTCTCTGTTCATTTAGGATTATGTCATCATCATCATCATATCAGCCGTTACCTGTCCACTGGTAAATATAGGCCTCCCCTATAGATTACTTTAAGGAATGGTCTTGAACCACCTATATCCACTGACTCCTGCAACGTATTTTAGGTCGTTACTCCTGATAAAGTGATGTCCTGGACATAGAAATAATATGGACAAATATAATAATATGAGCATATTCAATGTGTAAAAGTATTATTGCAAGACTACTGCCTATAAATGTTTCTAACTATAAGATTCAGCTATGTACGAGTAGTCACATTTAGTTTATTTTTTGAATTACCTTCTTGCATAGAAATGTAAGATATGTAGAATTTTTCATAACATTATTTTAATGAGTCACTGAGATAAATAAGTTATATGTCTGTTCATAAATTTGACCTATTGATAAAAATATCAAATATGTAATAATATTTCAACTTCAATGTCAACTAAGTAGTTATTTTGAGACTCGTTGAAATTGAGAATTTATCTCGATAAAAGTTCACACAATTCAATAGTAAAATAGATTATTAAATTTCTATTAATATATAATAATATTTTATTTTTTATGTATATGTTTTATATATGTTTTTCTTGGTATAATTAAATATAATTAGAAAATATATATTATAAAAAGTATAGTAATAGAGGGAAAATATCAGTAAATAAGCAAAAAGGTAAATCTACAATACATCAAATTGAAATCTATCTATATATTGTTGACTGTTACACTATGTAGACTATCTGAGTATCTATAAGATTCTCCATAGCTTGGTATCCTGGAGA